TCTCAAGAACAACAAGTGAACCAATTTATAGTTTTTAACACAAAAACTACATTTTCGAAATAAAAGCCGGTAATTCACATAATCAGGTTGGTCAGGTTACTGGATGAGTTAAGCTCTGAAATTTTATCCAAAAATCCACCTCACTGGACTTAATAAAACCACCAAATTTCAACCCCAAACTCAAAATACATGATTTTATAATATTCAGACAAATTTACAACAAAAATGAGCATAAATGCACAACTTGACTTAATGAACGAATCATGACTTGAAATTTATACACGAGCTGCTACAGCATGTGCAGAACCACATATAAAAATTCCAGCTATTAACATGAAACACACGATTTTTAAAAATTAAAACAAGATTCTGCAGAATTTGAATTTTTAACAAAATCGAACCAAAATGAAACCAAATAAATCCAAACTTTTTACATACTGAAACACATCAAAAAATGAACCCAGACACAATTTTTCAGCAATTTACCACCTCAGGTCAATTTATCAAAATCGAAATAAGGTTCTGCAGACTAATTAAAACAATTTTTAACCTGAGCAAACAAAATCTAAAAATTCTGAAACTTTTAGACAATCTGTAAAACAGAAATGGAGACAACATAATCAAATTTCATCAATTTTGGAGCACAACTCGATTTAATAAGCAATTAACATGATTCTGCTCAGATTTTAACACAATTATTAAAAATAGCTACACTAAATGTTTTAATCTGAAATTTTTACATAACAAACATATTCATCATAGGGCCTTACTCACAAAACTTCACTTCAAACAGATCAACATACAATTTATTATGAATTTAAAACCAAATCAGCGATAACACATGTTCATAAATTCATAGCCGACTCAATTTACGACGAAATCGTCCGAGGTCTTCACCATAAGACTAAGGATCCTATAATGTTGTAATCCACAAAAAATTAATCACGAATTACGAGGTCTCACTTGATTTCTCAAAATCGAAGAGATCGACAAAATCTTTATATTAAACTAAATCGAACACATAAATCACACGGCGAATAATAAATCGCAAAGCATGTTCAACACGAAATTAACGAGAGGGATGTGCCTCGGTACCATTCTCGGGAACACGTTCGAAAACGGGACGGAGGGATCGAATGGCAACACGCGGTGGCGCGTGGAGGAGCAGCAGGCGGCGGTCGGCGACTTGCGGAGGCGCTGTGCGATGTTCGTCGGCCTTCACGTGAAGGAGCAGGTCGTCGCAACGAGCTGCTGCATGGAGGGAGAACATTCGAAGGTTGAGGTCGCTGGAGTTGCAGGTCGCGGCGTCAGGCTCGCGGCATTGCTGTTGGTTCGCGGCGGAGCAGGGCGGGTTCGTAGCGGAGGTGGTCGTCGATGATGATGCTCGACGGAAGATGAAGGTTGCGACGACGGTGCGTGGCTCGCCGCTAGGCTCCTTGCGCGATATAGAGGCTGGACCGGGGCTGCCGGAGGCTGAGACATCGGCAGGAAGGAGCTGCGATTGGCTCGCCGGAGAAAGGAGGGCTCGCCGGAAGAGTTACGAAGCGACTGTGCTTCAAGCGGCGGGTCTGTTCGCAGGGCTGAGGAGTCTAGGCGTAAAGCTCAACACCGGCGTTGAAGGTTGTTCGCTGCTCATCGGACAGAGAGAAGGTTTGCCGGCTATTGATTGCCGGACAACGGGCTGTTGCTGCTCGGTAAGTAAGCCGACGAGGAGATGGCAGTCAGCGGCGGAATCCGTCAGCTTGGGCCGGCTCTGTTCGCTTGTTGCTGCGGGATTGCCGACGAAGGGTTGGCGTTCGAAGGCTGGGCAAGGACGATTGATGATGGTGCTCACAGCGACGGGCTGCGTAGGGCTGGCGATGGATTTGGGCGAGAGAAAAGAGAGAGATATGGAGCTTCGATTTTACGAGAGAGGAACAAATAAAGAAAAGTTGCGCGTGAGATGTTTGTCGAGAGAGATGAGCGAATTGTATTAGGCTAGGTTTAATAATCTTGTTCTCACAAGATACACACACACACACACACACAAGGACGGTTCGGGTCGGCAAAGGGAAACCGGGTCGACCGGTTCACATAGGCCGGGCGCGGGTTAGAGACTCGGCCAGCTCTCGCACTCGACTAGCCATATGATATTAATTCGGTTTCGGCTCGAAAATTAAGATATAAAATTGGATATCATTTATATATATAAGGCACACAATTTATTAAATAAATAATAATAACATTTAGACATTTAGGCATTTAATTACAATTAGACAAATAATAATATTTAGACATTCAATAATAATATTAATAATAATAATTATAATAATAATAATAATAATAATAATAATAATAATAATAATAATAATAATCTCAAATAATTCGTAAACAACGGGTTTACGAATCCGCCCGTTTCGACTACCGGTTTATCGGGCTCAATTTCATAAAATCCGATCGTATACAACGCTCAGAAAAATAAAATAGAAGAATACAATAACAATATTAATAATGCCGAAATATACGAAAAATCCATTACTCAAACGATTTATATTCGGTTCATGCGATTAAACCGAAATCGCCGAACGACGATTGTTTTAAAATAAAACAATCGAGTACTCCAACCTAGACATGGCCACGGGCCGAACCGGCCCGTGGCCCGAACCGTGAACCGGTACCGGCCCGGACCAAACCGGCACCGGTACCGGCATGAATAGTACACGGGCCGTGAACCGGACCGGGCCCAAAGCGGTCCGGTTACGGTTCAATGGTTTTCATTAACCGGTCCNACCTGGCCATGTCTACAGTCCAACCCTCTTATTTAAGTCGACATCGCGACTAATAAAATAAATATAAACTTATAAATAGTATTCGATAAATAGAATATTCCGAGAAATTCTATAAATCGAACGGGGCGTTACAGGTTAATACCGGACCGAACCGAATAGGATTCAATTAACATTAAAAAAATGAATTAGTAGTATGTCGGGCGCAAGGCTCATGTTCCATTCTTGAGCCACATTCTGTTGTACATAATGGAAAACCGTTTGCTAATTCCTCTCCACGTCAGGCTCTTTGGCACCAGAAGTCTCTTCATCCCTTGTTTCATCATCTCCAAAGCATTGATTAATCTTTTTATTTTATTTTTTATTGAGAAATACTAGTATCATCACCAAGAGTTGGAGCTTGATCAGTTCTCACTCACTTACACAGGTTCAAACTCTTAAGGATAATACAAAATACAACCAGACATTTTTAATTTTTTTAGTTTTGTCTGTTATGTGCAAACATCGCTGACCGTAGTATCACTAAATCCCGACAAGTTTGGGCTCATGAAGAACATTACTTTTGACATTTGCTTTTCATGTAATCTATACTAATATAAAAAGGTTGTTGAAAATATACATAAATAGTAATTTTTACTTTTTAATTAAATGTTTGACTTACTATTATAAGAAATATTTTTAAAAACACATGAGATTAGAAAAAAAATGAGCAAATCAATTTTATATACTGTTTTTTAGGAAAAAAACGGGTGCATATTTTAAAAATGGATGTTATCTTATCCTTTTTCTTTTTTCTTTATTAACCACTTTTCCTATCATTTGGTGAATAATTTTGAAATTAATTTTCTTGGTAAAATTATCAGTGCATCTTTTCAATAGTTTGTTGAACGACCATTTCCCGCATAATTTTGGCAAAATTCGATTCTCACAATACTTTCAAAATATATTTATCTATTCATAAAAAACTCGATTTTCAAAATGAGATTAGATTTTCAGTGAATAATTCCGATAAGATTTATTTGGTAAAAACTCGTAAATATACCATGATAATCTGTATTTTTTTGTAACATTCTATTCGTGTTTTTGTCCAAAAAATATTTAACAAAATATGCAATTTAGGAGCAAATATTTTATTTTAAAACATCCATAACATATTCTTTATGACATTCAATATATTTAGGCAAATATAATATTTAATTTTGAGTAACAATAATTTCAATTTCAATAACACATCAATACAGTCTAAACTGAAAATGTACAATAATATCAAAAATATTTTGATATGGAAATCCATGTTTTAAATACCGTACCGTACCGGCCGGTAATACCGGTAATACCGGATACCGGCCATTGGTACGGTACAATTACACTCAAAATACCGGATTTGCGGTTATACCGGTTTGTACCGGGATCATACCGTAAAAACCGCAAAATACCGGTCCAAAATACCGGCCAATAAAAAAAAATAAAAAAAATTAAAAATTTTTAATTTAAAAAAATAAGATTTAAATGATAGTTAAAATATTTTATTTTTATCTCATTAAGAAGCTTAAATAATGATTATGATCACTTATTTTTTTATTTTTTTGCATTTGATATTATATATTTGTATTTATATGTATAAATATTATTATATTTGCTAATCCGGTAATACCACCGATATTACCGGTCCGACCGGTAATACCGCGTACCGGTGGCTAGACCGGTATGACCACCGGTACGGTATTTAAAACACTGATGGAAATGCATCAATACAACCAAAATATAAAAAAATTGATCTTTATTTTACATGACAATATACCATTCCAATATTCACCATAAGTTAATGAATATGAAAAAAATATTATCAAATATACTTCATTATTTAATGAGAAATTTTAATTTACAAATATTAATAAATATTTTTTACCTTTGCATCCCACAGGATTCGTGCTAGTCTAACTAACACAGAACACTGGCTTCATACATGTTAATACATAATAATATCTGAATCATTAATAATTCCCCAAGCATAGACTTTCAAATCATGGAATATGGAAATGGAGAGTTTTCAACATGGCAATTACAATTTGGAAGTGAACAGGGCATCTGTCTGTGAACCGACTGTTGGGGCCTTTTCTTTCAATTCAATACCGAAACCGAACCGAGTTTTCAGTAACAGAAAATTCGGTTACCGACAACAAGTCGGTTCGGTTTCGGTTTCGCATTTTATGTTACCGAAAATATCGGTTGGGTATCAGTTATTGCTTATCGATTCGGTTACCGAAGTGATACCAGCCCTAGTGAAAGCATACTATTTATGTAATCCTGAATGCAGTATCTATTGATACTGTTTATAACTAAGAACGTTTGTTATGCATTTGGACAAAATGAGAAAACAAATCCCAAATATGACTTGACAATAATTGAATTCCATAAGAACACATTTATTTTTTCCTGAAGAAAAAATATATCAGAAATGTACATCTCTTGTTTACTATGCATACACATCCCTTTCAGGTCTCCACACACGAAGCAGGCGATCATAAAACGAGCAAGATGCAGCTACCGGCTGCCTCCCCCACTGCCAATCCACACCATACGCGAGTGACCCGTGTTTCCCATACATCTCCACTACCTCCACTTTCTCTCCTCCAAATCTAACGACCCCAAATCCATTATGCATACACGCCGCCAAAACAAGTCCCTTTTTGTACGGATGGTGTTTGATTCTCCAAACTCCACCCCCTAAACATATGGATGACTCATTCACGGGCCTCAAGCCCGATCGAACATCCCATACCCTCAGCCGCTCGTCATAGCTGCCCGTGAGCACAATATTTGGATCAAACGGGCTTTTTGCTATGCAACAAACTCCCATTTCGTGGGCCTTTGTGTTTTGGAAAACCGAGTTTGACGGTTTATCACGCAAGTCCCAGCAGCTGAATTTGCAGTCATCTGATCCAGTGTACACAAGCGTAGGCCTTTGGGTGTCAAACGAGGCTGCCCATACCTCAAACTCGTGGGCTTTCCATTCTTGAAGTGTGTTTAGCTCAGACTCGTTTAGTGAGACGATTGAGACCGAGCCATTAGAGAGGCCTACTGCCATGGATTTGGCGAGCGGGTCCCAATCGATGCACAAACACATGGAAGTGCTGATGTGTTTTCCGGAAACTTCTTTCAGGCGTGTAGTTCCTGTGGAGATATTTTTGTCAGTTTGATGGAATCTTGAATCGTATTCATGGTATGAAAGGATTTTCGTAACCAAAGTAGAATTAGAACAACATCGGAAGGACAAAAATGTGTTTAATTGTAAGTTGTAACTAGCTTTTCATGGTAACTAGTAGTAGTAGTAGTTAATAGTAGTAGTAACACTTGTGTGCATTATGTTATATGTGTATTGATAAAAATCTGATATTTAAAATTTTTGAAAAAAATTAAAAATACAGGTTTTCGTTTTCAAATTTTAAATACTTCTTAATAATTATATTATCAGTTTTTATTTAAAATAACATTATGTTAATGGTAAACTCGCTCGCTCGTTAAGGTAGATATAAATGTTTTTTATATTATGTATACAATATGGGTGTCAAATCAAAGATTGTCAAAGTTGATTAGTTTGTTATATTGTATATGAAAAAAGATAAACAAATTAAATTAAGCTTTAAATATGTTTATAATTTTAAAAAGTCTTAACAGACATGGATAAAAGTGCAGACCCATATGAAATTGACAAATAGGATTACGAAGCACCACAAATCAACACATAGGGCTGCGAAGCACCACAAGTTGACACTTAAGCTCCAAAATTTCTGCATTTATATATAAGAGAGTTTCGCCCTTGTCAACACTATGTATTAAGAGTCTTTACTTTTTGTCTAAGATCTCAAAATGCAACTGTAAGTTTAAATCGGCTGACATACACGTCAGTTCATGAACTTCTATTGTATGTCATTCAGTAGCTGATGTGTTCTCCGTTCACTTCATTCAGACAAGATCCTGGATTGAGTAGTATGAATATGTTTTTCAATTGAGGGAAGTTCAAGATCCTCTAAAATGTAACGAAAGGATTATCATCCATATATTTTTGCACAAACAAGCAACAACTAGAATAGCCAAAAAATAAAAAAGAAGAAAAAAAAAATACTTTCAATTTTAATTCGCTCACTAATCATTGTAATGTGCCCAGGTTAAACACGTGTTTTGAGTGTGTTTACTTTCAGTCTTAAGATCTTAAAATGCAGCTGTTGCTTTCATCTGACGCAAAGAAGGATCATAATGAAAAGCCAGTTTAAAATCAGCTGAAATGGACACTGTGGTTCATGAACAACTATTATATATCATTTTGCCTTAGGATTTCTTCCATAGGATGAGTCTTTGCTGTAATAATAATCATATACAACTATGTATGTACTCCCAGCTTTGCGATTAAGAGATGATAATTTATGACACTTTCAGCCAATAACTATTCTACTATTTTCTTTGCTATCGAGAAACTTTTATCTTAAGCCTTTAATATCTAAAACATAAAAAAATGGGACAGATTGAGCAACATTAGGTATAGGGATGTCAATAGCTTGGAATTTATCGGTTGACAGGAAAGAGGCAAGAGAATAATGTTCTATAACCAAACAATGAAATTTGCAAATAAGCTGTTTAAATATCAATATACGCAGTAAGGTTTGCAGCAGAACAAAGAATAAACTTAAAAATAGGGGAAAAGGCCACTGCTTATTTCATATTTGTTCTTGTTATCGCGGAAAGAATATTCAAAACAGCAATGTTGAATTTCTACTATCTACAAAGTATCAGCTATAAAAATATGACAGCGCTGTTAAATTAAGCATTTTGCCTCTCTTATAAGGCTCCAAAAAGGCTAAGGCATGAATAATATATAATCACATCCTCCAACATTAGAACTTCAAATAGAGACTTCTAACATAGCATATGAGCAGCAAAACATGAATAAAATAAACCTAAATGGCCAAGCAATCAAGTCATGGACAAGAGATACATATCGGCTCATGAGTGCCAGTATTTATAAACAGAATACAAACACACACACACACACTCAATAATCAACAAAGCAAAGAGAAAGTGAAATCATAAAGCCACATCTCACTGAGCAGTAGAAAGCACAAATTTTAAGCAAAACACATGCATAAATAGTTTGCTAGACATAATAAAAATATATAAATAATCAAACATCATATTCGAAAAATAATAATATTAATATAGGCAAATTTGCCCCTAATATCACGACCTTTATCAAAGTTGCAATTTAATCATGGACTTTTCACTTTTGCAAATTATATCACAATCTTTAGTTTGTTGCAAACAGTCTAAACACAGCCACTCATGGAAAAGCTGATGTGGTCGAACAACAAACTGAAGACTGTGATATAGTTTGAACGGGATATGCAAATCGGTGCACCAATTTGCAACAAAGTAAAGATTGTGATATAATTTGCAAAAGTGAAAAAGTCGTGATTAAATTGCAATTTCGAAAAAGGTCAGTGCAATTTTGCCAAATAATAATAATAATAATAATTACAAACTCACCAAGCATTCCCAAATCATCCGAGTCAGAGCCGTGAAGGCTGTAGATCCTAACACAACCATCGGCATCCGCCTGAGCAAGCAAGGGCCTGATCGGGCCGTGCAGGTGGGCCCGACTCCACTTTATATCAAATATTCCAGCTGTTTCTACTTTCTGAATCAATTCAAGCCGGCCATTATCGGCATCAACATCAAAGAGCGTTATAGAGCCCGAACGACTGGGGCAATCCCCTTCCTGAAGCACGTAAGTGGAGGCGGCTAACACATTTTGGAACGATTCGTGTGGACAAAATTCAACAGCATCCGCATTCCCATCTAAGATGGTGTGGCCGACGTCCATTCTTTAATTACCTGTAACAGGAAAAAAAAAAAAAAAAAAAATTTNAAAAAAAAAAAAAAAAAAATTGAAAATGAACATCACTCACTGGGACATTTTATCAAACAGTCTGTGGGCATTGTGCTCAAATTAGAGAATTCTTGTCCTCATCTGCTGCAAGCTACAGTGCGTTCTAATTTTATGTGCTGGGCGACGGGCCACTTAGAATGTAGTTGAGACATGGAAATAAATGCTTCCATGGGAATTTTTTATCACTTCAAGAATTTAGGAGGCTCGTGTGTAAATGCATTTACAGAAAACAGAGCTGAAACAAATAATTAAGCCACTCAGATTGCTTGATATGCGCACATACTGAATGTCTGTGCACTATTATCAGGTACATCATTGCTAACATGGTATTAGTGAAGAAAAACTTACCGTTGAGTTCGTTGAGAGCCGGAAAAATGAAGAAAATGGGTAGTCTGAATTTGATATTGGAGTAAAGCCCAAAGTGTTATTAATATTCACTTTATAAAATATGTATATAGGGATTGGAAATGAGTCCAATTCTGACTCCATACTATCATTAAATAGGGTCAAGATATGAGGCCGTAATTTATTTTTTTAATATTTCTAATTATTTAAGCTAGCATNAAGTCAAATAAGCTATAAAATGATCAAACAGCTAAAAGTTGGCTGAAAAACCAATTACCAAACGCAGCCTAGTGAATGAGTTTAAAATAATTTTTTCTTTATATTGCAAATTATTATAAATATCGTTGGATACATTATTTACCGATAGGTGAAACCTAAGTATAGGTCTCAATTTGTAAAAGAAAAAAAAATCATGTCTTGAACTGTAGTTAACTATAGGCCAAATTACAAAATAAATCACCATCTTTACTTTAATTGCAATTCAAGCACAAAATTGCAATTTTAACAGTTTAAGACGTGACTTTTAAATTTTTACAAATTGATGTATGGACTTAAATTTTAGTTATTGGTGATCGATGGTGTTGGAATATATATATATATATATATATATAGAATTGGGATCAAATGATAAATGAACGTGGTGAAAGAAATGAGAATAAATCCAGATCATTGGATACATCATATCAATTGTTAGGATTAAGTCAAACACTGGTTAATCATTAATGCCAACATGGTCTTTTAACATACACATTATAGTCAAATATACATATTTGTCCACTTAGTAAGGTAAAATGGATAATACAAAAAATATTATAACTCATCCACCTAGTGGGTCCCACCACCTCCACCATAATTAACCCTCACTGTTTCTCTCTCTCTCACTCTCTCTCTCTCTCTCTCTCTCTCTCTCTCTCTCCTCTCTCACACACACACACACACAATCTAAAATTCTTTCACGTCCTTCTTGTTCCCACCACCGGAAATGAAGCCCGTAGCCACCTACTACCACTCGTTGTCATCTGATGCCTCCCGTTGCCGCCCGCTACCACCCACCGCCTCTCTCTCGCACCAACTCTCTGTTTCTCTGTCGCCCGTCACTGCAAAAAAATTGGACTCTAGCTCCCGGCATCCGCCACGTCATCCACCTGCCGGCGAGCTTCGATGAATCACGGCAAACGTCAATATCGATCCATACATCTCATTCGTCGTCAATCGTTCCCTACACTCGATTCGAGCCGACATGAAAAATCCAGTTAGACGGCAGAAGGAAGCCAATGATGAAGTTGTCGGCATGGTTTGAAGTTGCCGCCGAATTCGACATCTCACCGTAAATCTTCTCCCCGTTCACCAATGCTTTCATTCTTCTTGCAGCACATACCAGTTATGCGATAAACTTCGGTTCGCATCTCGATTCAGGCTGCTGCCGCCGCTGGGCTCGGTCAGGTGATCATCGACACGTACCGATGGTTGCGTACTTCAGCAGTTGTGGCGGTTTTCGGTGAATGACAGGAGGCTGAGGTCTGTTAGGGGTCGAAATTTGGGGGGCTTGTGTTTGTAAATTATATAAGTGATAAGGACTTATGTGCAAATTAATAAAGTTTAATTATATTATAATTCAGTATATGGGTCGAATTCACAATTTGTTAAATATTTAAAATTGAACAACATTAATAAGTTAAATGCACAATATTGTGTGTATACACGCAAATTAAAAAAAAAATACTCATATTTTTGCGAACTTATTAAAAAATAATAAAGATGCAATATTGATAAGTGATTTGTACAATATTGTGTGTAGTTAAAAATATATAATCTAACCGAAATATGAAATTTTGAGTCGAAAATTTTAATTCGATCGATTTTGAATACTATTGTGCAATCTAGTAGTCATTAATGTGAAATCAGTCTAATATTATAATGCACTGCATATTTTATATCTTGGTCTTTATATTTGTGCCTTTCAAAAAAATATACTGAACGCTAAAAATATTCTTAAAATATCATTTTCCACAAATTATGATAATTTATTTATTTGGAAAGTGTGATAATAAACTTGGTAATGTTTATCAATTATTTGTTTACCAATCTATTGTTTTTTTTAACTCGGTTTCTAAAGGTAAAATAATTTTTAAAATCTCAGTCTCAATAGTTGTGCATTTGTAAAAAAAAAATATTTAATGATATATATTATTTGTTAATAGTACACGATTTTTAAAACTCCGTTATAAATTTTATTTTGATATCCAAATCATTTTATAAATGCAACCGGCTTTGTTAAATCTCCACAAAAATATGGTAAAACAAAATGAGACGATCAATTTTTTATGAAAATAAAATAAAATCACTAAATCAATATGAAGTTCAGAGGAAATGAACATAATTTAGTAATTTAAATAGTACACGGATCTCAAAATTAATACTCACGTGGACTCTAAAATTCAAACTTATATTTATCATTATCTTTTAGAAATTGAATAATATATTGTAGGCAATGTTTTATTAAACTAATTAAACTTTTAATTACTATCTTAAAATCGATTAGAATTTTAAGATACGTTAAAACTCGATTTCAAAACTCAATCATTCAATATAAACACTTAATTATATTGGTAGTATTATTTTTTCAATAGTACACAAATTTTAAAATTAACACTCAAGTGGATCTTACAATTCAAATTGTATGCATTTCAAAATTCAAATCCACCCATACACACGTTTTTGGATATAACAGGATTTGGTTAAATTTGAAATTAAAAAATCTCTACATGCATGGTTTTTTCGTTTCAAAATTTTGAATTATTTGGTTTAAATTTTACATTTATAATTTTGAATTTAAAATCATTTCAAATTCATTAGCTTTCAAAAGTTAAGAATTGTTCTTATTTTGGACTATTTTGTTGTAACGTGCAATTACTAATATTTTATATAATTTTGAATCATGTTGTTTGGGCAAATTTTTACACACTCTATTGATTAAGTTATATATATACATATATATATATATATATATTAAATTTAAATGTCTTAGACACGTTTTTGTTACAAAATAGGTGAATTCACATTTCTTAAGAATAATATATAATATTTTAGATAATTCTACATATGTTATATAATATTTTAAGTGTTTTTAATATTTCAAAAATACATGTTTTATGTTATCTTAGACAAGATAATTTTATATTGTAAGTAATATCACATGTTAACCACACTTTTTTTATTTATAAAGTTTATTTAATATTGTCTATTCACTTTTAATTTATAATTATTATTTAATATTGTTTACCTATGGATTGCACAGGCACACACTAGTTTATTATTTAGAGCAACTCTAATAGCAGGTTTTCATGAGTTTTCGTAAGGTTTGAAAACCTGCTACTGATGGGTTTTTGATTATATAAGTGAGGTTTGAGGTTTGAAATTTTAACACAGCTCTTTGATTTCAAATCTCATATTTACAAATCTATCTTTATATAAAAAGAATAACCTTTTTACAAATTTAGAAACTTTTTCCCGCCAAAATCATTAAATATATCCTAATATAGTAATTATTGGACAAATCTAAATAGGCAAAAAAATTGGCTCATTTTTTTTTAGTTTATCAAAACCGTTGTTTAACAATAAATATTTGTTTTTCTTTTTTCTATTTCTAGTATAAATCTACACGCTTATCTCTTCTGTTACAAAATCCCGCATACGTCTTTTAAAAAATTTCATCCCTTATCTATACAGATTTAAAAAAATAAAATAAAATAGAAACCAATTCATAATTACTACTAAAAATCCATTATCTTTAGAAAGAAAAAATAAAATAAAATAGAAACTAATTCATAATTACTACTGAAAATCTATTATCTACTTTAAGAAGCTAATTTTTATCGGTCTAATTACTAATATTTTTACGAATATTATAAGCTAACCATACAAAAAAGTATAATAATAATTTTGAAATGGTGTGTAATCAAATTTTTTTATATTATATTATACAAAATAATTTTACATTGTTTGACCCCGAATCTTTAATTTATAATTATTTTTTTTGCTTCCTCTTTTTAAATAGGATCAATAATAGTTTCCACTTTGGTCATTGAGCGACTCAAACTCGAGTTCTATTTATAATATTGTTAATTTAATATTGTTTCCGTGCATCGCACGGGGTATACACTAGTGCATAAAGATAAAGTGGTGTTCAAATGCTCATAGACCATGTGCGTGTGTTGCACGGGAGAGTGGGCTGAAAAAAGGTGGATAGTATTTGTCCCCCACTTTTATTNTTTATATTTTATTATTTATTTTTATTTTTTATATTATATATTTATTTAAAAATATTTTTTGGGAAAGATGTGTTGTCATTTCAGCATAAAAGGCTGAAAAATTTTAGAATTGTGTACCTTACATTATTTTATCATGATAATTTTGAACATATTGTACAGTAATAATGAATAGTTGAATACGTACTATATAATTGAACATTTGCCTGATGAAAAACTCAAGCAAAAAAATACCTCTTATTTTCTTTCATTTCAATGGACAGAAATCCAAATTTTCCCAATTTTAATATGCCTAATTCTTCTGAAGACGATAGCCCGTCTTCTGTAAATTCTCGCTATAGTCGAAACATACCTCTCGTGCTTGGTCAATTTCTAGAATGCAATTGCATTCCAAAACAGTTCATATCAACCGATGCCTTTTTTTTTCTAGCCAAGCCCCTGAACAACAATCTCAGTAACGTGGTCAATGGCATCCCAATATAACATGCCAAACTCATTTGCACGCCTTTTCAACAAAGTAGTTTCATGCCAACAGCGATAAGCAATGGCTCACAAGATGTCGTAAGAGCTAGTACTGGACCAGAGGTTGAAGTCCTTGACCACATTTGTCTTAACAAAGATATAAAAAAAAATAAGGAAGCTGAGCCAAAGAGAGATGCGAAATCGTCTGCAAAATTGTGGAAACAAGACGAAGATATATTGCTTTGTCGAGCTTTCTGCACTATCTCGAGTGATTTGATTGTTGGGGCTGAACAGAGTTAAGATGGCTTCTGGAGGCGAATCACCCAATACTACAATGAAAATGCTCAAGCTGGGGACTTTATAGAAAGATATATGGAGTCGGCAAAATCTCATTTTTATGCTTTTCGTGGAGATTGTCTAAAATTCAATGCATCAATAAATAGGTTCCGAGCTGACCAGAGGAGTGGATAAAATGATGCTATTGTGTTGCAAAATGCATTAATGGAATGGAATAGTGATGTTAAGTGAAAAGGAGCCTTCAAATGGCTCCATTGTTGGGAAATTCTAAAAAATAGTCCTAAATTTCAAGGGTCATCACTGACAAGTCGAGGAGGAAAAAAGTCTAGAATGTTTGAATCGAGAGATCACACTTCTGGATCTGGTCAAGATTTGGAGCAGGATTGTGATGATGACATATTAAAGATAAAGGTGAAATGTAGCATGGGAAGTAACACTGATCAGAAAGCTGAACGTATGTTAGAAGTCTTTGGACATATTAAAGATATACATGAAAAACAACAGAATGAACTTAAAAAGTTGGTTCGTATGGAGTCTTGGAAGACCTATCGAGAAATGCTAAAGGAGGACAATTCAACAATGAGTGAAGAAGAATTAGAAGCTCACTACGCGCTTCTTGTTGAACTGAAAGAGGAATTGGGCCTCAATTAAATTTTTAATAATTTTCTAATGATGATTATGTACTGTATTTTGTTTTTATTAGTTTGTGTTATCTTTAGTTAACATGTACTTGTTTTTTATTTTATTATTATTATGCACTCGTATTCTATTTAATCTAATTGTGTACTCGATTTCTGCTTTGTGTTTGATTTAAAATTTTACCATATTTTATTTTATTTTGTGTACCATATTAATTACATGCCCATGAAATACATTTAGTTATTTATGTGCAAATAAAATGACAACCAACAAAAAAGCAAAAAGAAAGGTAGGTGGTGATGGATAATCACGTGATTCTCACCTAACTTAGTAGATGTCATCTTTTCTCATTATAAATAGATGTCTTAAATGTATTCTATGACACAATACCATCCACCAAATAATTTTTCTTTCAGCATCTTATTTGGCTTCTCTTTTGTAGTATTTTTTTTTTCTTTTAAGATGTCTAGAAATACCAATGACAGAGTAGCATATCGTGCTTTCTTGAAAAATATGCTTGATGATTCTCTGGTGCAGGCTGAATTTTTCCTGATGGAGGTCGTGATCAATCAGTTTGAAGAAGCCGAACAAGGTGAAAATTCAAGTAGGCGAGAACGGCGAGTTGTCCATCGAGGTCGTGATGTCGGACATGCTCTGTTAATAAAAGATTATTTTGCTACAAAACCCACCTATCACGAAGGCTTCTTCCGTCGTAGATTTCGTATGTCCAGACGTTTATTTTCTCATATTGTTGATTGAGTTGAAGATCACTCTGATTATTTTAAGAGCAAAACAGATGCATCTGGTAGACAAGGCTTTTCACCCATTCAGAAGTGTACTGCAGCTATACGCCAACTAGCATACGGAGCACCTGCTGATCAACGTGATGAATACTTACGCATGTCAGAGCAAACGACTAATAGAAGTCTTATGGAGTTTTTTCGAGCTGTGTGTCAGGTATTTGCATCTCAATACTTACGCCACCTAATGCTGCTGACATCCAATGACTACTTGCATTTCACGAGGAGAAGCATGGTTTTTCCGGAATGCTGAGGATCCTTGATTGTATGCACTGGGAGTGGAAAAATTGTCCTGTTGCATGGCAAGGCTCGTACACTCGAGGAGATCATGGTGTACCAGCGATAATGCTTGAAGCAGTAGCCTCACAAGACTTGTAGATCTGGCATGCCTTTTTTGGACTTGCTGGGTCACACAATGATAATAATGTATTGCACGAGTCCCCATTATTTAACGATGTCTTATACGGGATAGCACCTGAGGTAGATTTTACAGTGAATGGAACGCAATATAATAAAGGATATTATTTAACAGATGGTATCTATCCGCAAGGGGCAACGTTTGTCAAGAGCTTTCAGTGCCAAGACGATCCAAAAAGAAAAAAATTCAAGCAACGACAAGAGGCTGCAAGGAAAGATGTTGAGCGTGCTTTTGGGGTGCTCCAATCAAGATGGCAATTGTACGTGGCCCACCTCGTTTTTGTTCTAAAGAAGACTTAATGAAATAATGTTATCATGTACTATTTTACATAATATGATAATTGAGGATGAGGGTGATGATGCAACAAAATGGTCCAATGATGACACTGAGCCTCCAGTCCAAGCACGACAAGGCCATGCAGGAAATTTTCGTCGGTACTTACAAATAAGAGCCGAGATGCAAGATTGAGAAATCCATCATCAACATAGGCACGGCCTAGTTGAGCATATTTGGAATGAACCTAATTAACAACAGTATTAATTTAGTTAATCTATATTTTACTTCATCGTACCTTCCGTGTGCAATAATATGTATTTTTTTTTTCTTTATTTGAAATTGTTAAAGTACCCTATTTTTTTGGCGTTTGTTCTAATTTAAAAAAGCTCGTTTTCACTTTTTTTTTTCCAACAATCCTGTCTAACTCGTTCTTATACTATAAAATTAATTTTTTATACTAAATTAATTGAAGTTTTATTTTAATTAACAAAAACATACTTTTACTTCTATTTTGTTTGAGCAATGTTTGCTGTCGTTCGTTCTACATCAAAAAAATCATTTTTTTTTTCGGAAAACGTATCTAACTCATTCTTTTACCATAAAATTGAATTAATTTTTTTTATCTATGACTAATTTCAGTTTTATTTTAATTAATAATCTATAATTATAAATTGTGAAATATAGTTACATATAATTATATTGTTATTTTTGTATGTATTATGATAAATATGTGAAATATTTAGATTAAATAAAAATAAAATTAGAGTTATAGTTTTAAAATATTAATTAAAAATAAGACTAATAATAATTATAAAAATAAGTGAGAAATATGTGAGACCCATAAAAAAGAGATTTATGAGGTTTGTTGTTATTGGGGGTTTGTAGGAGTAAAAAATGAGGTTTTGAATAATGTGATATATTAAGAATAGAGAAATGAGGTTTGTGTATTCGTGTTTTAGAATATAATATCTGTTTCTCACTTATTTTTTCTCTAGAACACTCCTCAACATACCGCATCCAGTCGCCTTCTACCCAGCTCGCCGTCTCAGCCTCTCAGGTTTTCTCTTCGATGTCATAAGTCGTCCCTCCTTACTCCTATAATATTTCAGGGTTTTTTTTCCCTACTAAAAAATTCTTGTTTTGTTTAGTATTGTTTGTCTGTTCTTAATTTATGTAATTTAACCATTGAGTGAATGATTTCTGATCTAATTTATAAGGGGCCGAAATAGTGATGGAACAAACTTTATTTTTCAACTTTTCATTCACAGAAAATTGAGGACCTGCCAGAGTTATGTTTGATGTATGATTATTGTTGTTGGTTGTCAGATACTAACGGATGCTATGATTCGAGCGGCAACAAAGCAAGGGGTCTCCTTGTTGTGTTCCGACTCACTGAGTTATCAGCTGCAACAATGGCGAGGCATCCGAGTTAAGGTTCGAAACAACAATTTAGATCAGGCATTAGCTTTAATGCAGAGGAAGATGCAATCCAGCGGCATCGAGCGCATGATAAGGAATGAACAAACTTGCCACATTAAAAACTCCGAGAAGCGTGTTCTAGCTAAGAAGAATTTGGAGCGCAAGATTCGTGCACAAGACCTCGCCCGCAAGCTCAAAATGATTCTCGTGCAGAAAGTCAGGTGTGTGAATTCAAGGTTTTGTTTTTATCATTTATTTATTTTATGAGCGGAAGGAAGCTTATTAGAGACAATGAATTTTGAAATGTGACTGGTCATTGATGAATTACTCAATATCATTTAATGTCGTTTTAGTTCATCGTTTTGACAGTATATTGGAACTTGAAATTGGCTTTGCTGCTTTGGTTATAGAAAGCTTTGTGTTGCACACATTTGTGACAATTACCTGTATTTCTTTTGTTTAGTAAAGTGTTTTGTGGTTCAAAGAGTTGAGCTTTTTGTTCTTGTTACTTTTTTGGTTTATCTGAGACAATTTGTGAAATGCTATATGAATGGAGAATTTGATTGCTCCGGAGTGATATTTAGGAGAAAGTCGTATTGCCAAAGTTTGAATTGATTATTTTGGTACCTGTGGCTTGATGTTTCAGCTCTGAGTTATCTTGATTATATTTGTAGTTTAGGAGCATCAATCATCGATGCCTGTTAACTAGAAAAGAAGATGAAAGGAAGGTCTTTCTGGTTTTTACTGAGCATATTGAAGGAGCTTGTTTAACCTGTAATTTGTTTACCTTTATTATGATTTATAATTATCCAGTTCGAACCTGTGTTTGTATAAAATCTTAAGAAATAATCTGTGAAGATTTGTACATTTATATTGTAGGTGTACAGTATGGGAATGGATTCAACATTTTATGTTTGATTTTTTTTTTCTTTTTTTTCTTTTTTAAAAAAAATTCCCTTAGTGGTGGCATTGTCTGTTGGAGGTAGAGATCTTGTGGTTAAATAATTTGTTGGCTTATCGTGTTGAGTTGGATATTAAAACTATTTTAAGGTAGGTGCTTTTCAGTATCATCTTCCTATTTACTTTTCAAAACACGAAATGAAGGACAATCACGGTGTGCACAAATGCTGAGGAAATTATTTGTGATGGTTGAGTGTCCTACAGCTAGCGGATGATGAACAATCTCCCCTGTCGAGCAACTTGGGGGGGGCTACAATCATCCATATATTGTTTCACATTACTGACATTTTAAGACAAATTAGCTTATCATGAAAGATTATTTTGATTGTTCAATAGCTGTTTTCTATTCTCTTCCCTTAAAGCCATCTAGGGTGTCGGATGTGGAGTTTTTTTAAACGAACAGCATGATAAATTGTATCGTCACATATGATAACATTCTGAATTTCTCGCCAAGTCTTGGGATTATGCCTTAAATCTTATAACTGCTAGTATTTATTTCTGTTTCCTTTGCAACTGTTATGTTTGTGCTCTGATTTTCTTAGCTGACATAATATTTGATCTGCTTGCAGGGGTCTGTAAGACTACTGAGGGACTTGTGGAGATGCTACTTGTTGCTCGATTGATTTGCATGTTTTTCTATCGTCCACAGTGCCTTGAAATCTAAAAATGCATGTAAAGAGGATGACTGTTTCTAGCGAGTTGTGCTTTTCCACAGATTAATAGTTCGTCAGACTGTTTCTAGTGTTCGGTTGACAGTAGAGCTATATATAAATTTAAACTCAATCATGAAGTTTGTGATCATCTAATAACTCTTTTGGATACAGTTTTTGTAGTCCAAGCTAAAAGAAGGGTCTGTTTGGTTGCCTCAAGGTGAAGGGTTTGATTTTATCTAATTTTATGATCCACCAATGTTCACCCATGAGAGTCTACATCCCATATTGTTGTTCGGTTAAGTTTTTTGGGCTAGAATGATATTCGACCCACTAGTAAAAATGGTGAGAATAAAATTGTCTGAATGATTTTTGTTATTTGGAGAGCAGTCATAATGTTTTGAGTTTAATCACAAAAAATTGTAAGTCACTTAAGAAATAGAGTCAGTCTAAAAAATATATTCTCCAATGCAAATAAAGTGGACCGAGTCTTGTTGATGTGGCAGCTAGAAAAAGAGACTCGGTCTATCCTTAAGTTTATTTTAGACCCAAGTAGAGACCATTATATTAGCACGATCTTTGATATATTTTGCGGATTATATTAATTATTCAAAATTTAATAGTAAGTTCCGTGCATTACAAAAATTTAAAGTACATTTTTTGTACTTTACATATTATGGGCGTAGATTTATTAGGCACTTGTTATGGTAAGTTGTTACAATATATATCTCAATATGTATCCTTTTTATTAAAACCGAACAGATAAACATAAAACTACGTTTTTTGTGTTTGATTTAAAATGGGTCACAATTATTATGGAATCCGTGATGTTAATTGATTATATTCATTTTATTTCATTATTCAGAATTTTGTTTTAAAATATAAATATAAATATGTCGAAAATAAAATGTAGTAAAATGTATATTATAATAAATTTTCGGACTGTAAAATAAAAAAATTAATGAAAAATTATCAACGTTTTTTTAATAATCAACTAAATTAGTGATAATTCATGTATCAAAAAAGTTTTCCACGAAATTTGTAGAGATCTATTCGTGTATTGTAGAGGAAAAATTGAAATTGGAGAATAATTAAAAATAATTAATTTATTCATAACATCGCACGGGTAAATATCATCAAATCTGAAACAAACCATTAATTAAAAACCCCAAATATCAACAAACCCTAAATATCAAAATCTCTTGGTCCTTGCTAGTGATGAGGAAAAATTCCATTATAGTTGATTATAGTCGTTCTTACATGTAGCACAAGCTTCCATCTGTGCATTCTAGCAAATTTCATCCCATTATTAAATTCAACATTATAGCGGCGTATCACATAAACATCGCCTTCTTTCAGTACATCTCGCATCAATCCCACATTCGGAGAATGTATTATACCTTTAATGTATGAACCCTACAATAGAAATTAATACAAATTAAATAAATTAATTTTCGTAGTTCTGTATTTTTGATATAACATTAAAAAATATTACATCTTCGTCATGAAACAGGATATGGAAACAGTTCAAGCACTCCTGATCATGATGCGTTTCAATAAGTCGGACTACCCTCAGACGCAAAATTGGTTTGTTGGACCTGGTCACGGAGTTGATTGTATCAACGACATTTTTATTTTGTGTATATTGAAATTTGTTTGTATTATTTTCTCTGCAATGTTGTGAATGAAGTGATAAAGGAAATTGGCGTATGAACACCCTTTTATACATGCGATAGATCTGCATAACAACCTTATCACGTAAAATATGGAAATCTTTTTTTAAGATAATAGTCCTTAAATTTTTAACGATAAAAAGTGGTGATTTTGTTAAGATATTAAGTTGATTTTGATTAAATTGTAACAACCGCCCCTTATTAGGAATTTTAGTTGATTTTTGTACGTAAATCATGGAAACTCAATTTCGGATCTTTGGGTTTTTAAATATGGAATATAAATTTCAAATTGATTGGTTTTAAGAGGCGCGTGATGCTTAAATTAAGGAGTAACAAATTGAGGCTCACAAACTTTATGCGGCCAAAATAAAAAAAAATTAAAAATTAATATTGTTTTAAGATGTTTAAATTGGTTACCATATTAAGTAGGTCAAATTGGTTGACTGCATGTTTTTTAAAACTTTCCTAAAATGATTTATTGACCTCTCTTTTTCAATATATATAGATAGATACGCAAATAAAATCGGAAAGAGTTGATTAGATTAGATTTATTTTTTCAAATATTAATTTCATTTTTTTTTAAGTACAAACTTCAAAAAATGTCAAACTCACTTTTTTTTTTAATTTTATTTTATTTTTATAATTTTTGAACATTTTTTAATATATAGATAGATGTATATATCTCCATATAAATATTAATCTTTTGGTCCAATCACATTTTTTTTAATAGAACAACACCCCAAAAAGAGGGGAGTGAGAAGTTAAGGCCGAACACCCAAATGAGCTGAGAAAGTCACAGTCTGCAAGAACAGTGTGCGATATACATCAAATCAAACGAAAACAAATAAGAAACAAGGAAAAAGTACAAAGCAGCAAGAAACACAAAAGGTGTCAGATCCTAGTCCGAGAAAAGTCGAGGCAAAAAGTCCGCACCACCGAAAGCCAGAGGCATCAACAGGTATGACCGCTATGCAAATCTGAATGAGGGGTATCCCATCTGGTCCATTCGTATAAGGGTACTGGTCCAGTCACATTCACCGAGTGACCATATATGCAGCAAACCTCTACTTTTTCTTAAAGCGGAAAAAAATATACTTATTCAACTGTAACATTTAGTGAACAAAATTTTATAAACCCTGCAAATCATCTATTCACCGAGTGACCATATATGCAGCAAACCTCTACTTTTTCTTAAAGCGGAAAAAAAATATACTTATATATATCAGCTGTAACATTTAGTGAACAAGATTTTATAAATCCTGCAAATCATCTTTCACAAAGTGGTTAATCATTTATTTTTTATTTAAAAATATCATTTGTAATACCTATATATATATATATATCATTGGTATTCTACTAATTACACAATAGTAAGACAAGGAGAAGAAGAATAGATGGCAGTCTCTGTCTCATGCTTTCACCTTTTCCTTTGCGTCCTTGTTTTTGTTTCAGGTCACATATACATGTATTCATCTTTGTTGAACACATAATAAACTTAATTTGCATGTAAAGATTAATGATTATTTTTTTTTTGGAAATTAATGTTGACAAATTGAGTCCAGTTGCCCCTTATTGAGTTCATCTATTTGACTCGGATATATTATGACACCTAAAATTCATGTACGCATCAAACATTTATAATGAAATATTTGCGTGGGTTGGAATTATTGTATATCGCTTCGGGTTTTACATATCTAGATAAAAAGAAGAAATTATAAAACACATTGTTAAGATTTACTTCTAGTGTTAGTTTATTTATTTATTTTCTTTTTGCCTTCCTAACCTAAAACGTGAAATTAAATATTTATTATTGCAGTGACAGAGACGGTGAATGGGGAAACTTGCGTGTGCACGGAAGAAATGGGGCAATGTAATAGTGAGTGTGAGAAGAGGTGTACTGCAGCCTTCAAAGGAGCCAAGGCCTCATGCACCCGGGCTGGTGGTACAAAATTGCCAACATGCCTTTGCGCCCATAATTGTACATGTGCTAGCCTCTAAATATTAGATTATTGTAAAATTATAAGCTTACAAGTACAACACCGGTGTGTACTCTTAAATTTCAAAATCAATAAGAAAAGGGTTATTAAAATTTAAATACTTTTTTAAAAAAATATATATTATTATATTATTGATGTCAAAAATTGGACGATCAACCTTTGATAATGAATCGAATTTCTCGTAGGAAATTGATGAACAAGATGATGAAAAAAGTGTGCTTTCTCTTTTATTTTGTAGAGAGAGAGAGAGAGTCCTCCTATCTCTTTTTGTTGTTGGGAGGAGAGGAGTG